AAAACCCCCCGAAAAACCGCCTATGAGTCCAGTATCCCCCAGCAAAAACCCTAAAACTGGGATTTTTCCCGCAAAATCCCCAAATTTTTTTCCCCCCTCACCCCTTTTATGCCTTTGCAAAGTGGAAATTCTACCTACCTGACCCCCCGGAAAACCCCGGGCCCCTGAAATGGGGAATTTTTTGAATTATTCTTTTTACCCGCCCCTTTATGGAAAATTTTTGTCAGGGGGAAAAATAAGTATTTTCAGTTTCACCATGGGGAAATACGATTTATCACCACAGTCAAGATACCAGGGGAAAGAGACGACTGTTTTCAGAAATTTTATTTTTTCTTTTTGCAACAAAATGGCCTTTTTTGCCTCACGGGCCATAAGCATAATTTTAAAAGCATACTGGGCCAAGATCGGCTAATTTTAACCCCCCCCTTCAAATGGAAAAAAATACCCGTGAACAGGTTTAACTTACGGTTAAAGTATGTTGCCCTTCTTGAAAAAAAACCCCGGCCTGACAGGGAAATGACAGGTTTTTACAAGATTAGAAAAATTTTCATGTAACTCAAACAAAAAATTTAGGATATTCTTTTTATCCATTCAAGAATTTGTTTTAATTTTACGAGTCTTTGGGGTTTTTGTTTTTTAAAAGGTTTGGGCCCGTCATTCAAGCAGTATATACCGAGCAAAGGAAAGCTTTTGGAAAAAAATTGGGTTTTTTCTCTGTTTTATTGTGACAGTGGGGGGTGTTGGGGTTTTGTTTTATTTCACGGGGAGTTTAAAAATTTAAAGATACCAAAATGGTTTTTGGGGTTTATCAGGTGACGTAGTGAGAAACATGTTTGGCCCCTTTTTCTTGGAAGGGCCCAAAATTAATACCGAAAACTGGTAAAACAAGCCCCCTTACTTCCCGTGAAATTTTTTGGAAATGAAAAAAGACAAGTGTTGGCACAGTGCGTTCTAACCCTAAACATATTTCCCCCGGCTCAACGCAGGATTTGTGGTGATGACGTGAGGTTTTTACGCCAATTTACAAACATGGATTTCGGTGGGGATGACAAAAGAGTCACATTGTTTACAAACCCCCCCACAGTTTAAAGAAAAAGCAAAAAACAGTGGCAAAGTTGATCGAGTGAAACCCAAAGAACGTATTCGAAAACCTTGACAGTGATTGATTAAAAACCCAAAAAAATGCCCCCTTGGTTACAAGTGTGACATGGATTTTGGTTTTTGTTGACTGTGTTCATAAGAGTTAAAAAGTGGTACCCGGGGAAAAAAATTTTTTTCCCTTTTCAAAGGCATTTCAAGCTGAAAAGATATTAAAAGGGACCAAATAAAAACTTTTGGGAAAAGACCCCCCGTATGGTGAATTTTGTTTGTCTGTTTTTCAGACAAATCATAATGAAGTACCAGGGAAAAAACACCTGCAATAAAACATGGTCCTCGAATTCAAAACAATTTTAAACCCCCAAACAAATTTTGGGGAAAAAAGGGATCATTTCCCTAATAAAAGCTTCCTTAAAATCAAAAGAAAATTTTCTAGAAGAGATGCATTTTTCGTGCCAAAAAAAAAAAAAAAAAAAAAAAAAGACGGCAACAAAGACGCAAAGACATCGGTTTTTTGGTGGGAATGTAAGGGTTTTGTGCTTTGGGCCCCGTTTCAAAGGGTTCCACAAACTCCAGCAGTTTTAAACCATGTCCAAGGTTTATTTTTAAATATTTTAAAAATTTTTATAAACATTAAATTTATACAATATTTGTGCAAAGTTTATTGTAATTAAAAAAACAGTGGAAACAATTTAAAATGATAATAACTTTTTGTGCAGTTTTTTGTGTTCAATACAGGGAAATATATATCAAATTTATTACATTTTTGGTCTCTCAGGGCCCCCTGTTTGTAGGAATAGAAAAAAATTGGAAAAAAAAGAAAAAACAACTAAAAAAACAAAATTTAAAAATAATTTCGCGTATGTGGAAAATTTGTCGATGTTGCCGCCCCCCACAAACATTTTTTTCAAACTTCTTGGGACTGTACTCGGTAATATGATCGATTCTAATTTTTTTTTGTTTTAAAAACCCTTTCCAAAAAAAAAAGCTTTTAATTCTGTAAGAAAAAATAATTTTTTTTTTTTTTTAAAATTTCTTGGACCTGGTGGTGACTTTTAGATTTTTGGGCCCTTTGGGCCCTGAAAGGGTTAATATATTTATAGAAAGGGGGGTTTTAAAGAATAAATGCTTTGGGGGTTGGGGAGAGGGGTGGGGTTAAAAAAATGGGGAACGAAATAAAATTTGGGGGTTGACACAGTTACTTATGCTGATGATACTGTTCTTATGTGTGAGTGAGGTGAAAGGTTGAATGATGATGAAAGAAAAATTTTTTTTCGGGGCCCCCCTGACTCGGGGGGAGAAAAGGCCCCCTTTTTTGGAAAAAAAAAAAATTTATGACTATAACAACCTAGAAAAAAAAAAGGGGGGTTGAAAAAACCTTTCTAGGGTTGTACGCTAAAAGTTTTTTTCTGCATAATTTTCAGTGTAACTATCCCGTGCAATACATGATGTAAGGCAGGAAAAAGGGCATTTTTTTCAGGCCCCGAATTTGGATCTTTACTAAATACCCCCTAAAAAAAAATTATTTTTAAAAAAAAAAAAACCCCCTTGTTACCCTCAGTATTTAAATTTTTGAATCACTGGTTTTGGGGAAAAAGTATCTAAATGAATTTTTTTTTTTTTAAATTATTAAAATCCTATTACTTGGTTTGAAATGCTATAAAAACTGAACATGTACATTTTTTATAAATTATTTTTAATACAATTTTAAAATTCATATTTTTTAAAAAATTTTAAAAGAAAATAGTTTTACCTATTACATGGCCATCAAATTTTTTTTAAAAACCCCCCGACTGTTTCAGGCCCCTTCCCGAAACTGTCAATTCTTTGTTTTGCCAAAAAATTCGAAAAAAAAAAAAAAATTTTTTTTTTCTTATGAAAAGAAGAGGAAAAAATTTTTCCCCATTGGGAATGCACCAAAAAGAAATTTTTTGGTTTAAAACCACGGGAATTTTCGCTCCCGCGAAGTTTTGCGGAACGGCACATTGTTTTAACGGCGATTTCGCCGACCCTTTTAAACCCCGGTTTTTAGCCCCAATTTTTATTGTTTTCCCGTTGACCAAAAATATAGCAAAATTTTTTTTAAAATCCATTTTTTTCTATCAGCGGGGTACAAAAAACGCCCAAATTTTCCAATTTGAACTACCCAAACGAAAAGTGGGTCAGAAACGGGGAATTTTGGGCCAAATTTTTACGCAAATTAAAAAAAAATGCCCCCTTTTTAAAAAAGGGGCCGAATAAACAAGGTAGACATTTTGGCACAAAATACAAAATCCCTTTTTTCATTAGTCACATTCTAGGCCCCCCTATTTTTTAATTTTTGCTTTTATTTTGGGTTTTTTATTCATACAAAAAAATTTCAAAATTTACTGTTAGGGAACTTCTGCATTATTTTTTTTAAAAAAAATTTTTGGTTTTTAAATAAAATCAGTGCAATGGGAAAAAATATTTGACCCCCCCCCCCCCCCCCCCCAGTTGACATGATTGGGTGTGTGGTGTGATTTGTTTACTCCCGAAAAAATTTGGGAAAAATTTGAACATTTCCGCTAATTTGAGCTCAGTTTCAAGGTCGTTTTCATCGTCAAAGTAATGAAAATCATCTCTATTTCTGTAATATGTTTTCCATTTTATCACCTAAGACCATGCAAACGCAAATACAACGATAAATACTATACGAAAATGCACCTCAAAGTCGGCGTTTTATTCCAAAAAAACGATCAGTTTTTTTTCTCATTACGCAATGTGTGCTGCAGGATTTTTTTATGTGGTGCACACTGACCACACAGACCCATTCTCTCACATGTGGGCATACCAGCTTTCTCCCGCTTGATTTGAAGCCGCTAGATTTTTTTTTTTTTTTCAACAAGTCGGCCGTCTCCCACAGAGGCAGGGTGACCCAAAAAAGAAAGAAAATCCCCAAAAAGAAAATGCTTTCATCATCATTCAACACTTTCACCACACTCACACATAATCACTGTTTTTGCAGAGGTGCTCAGAATACAACAGCTTAGAAGCATATACGTATAAAGATACACAACATATCCCTCCAAACTGCCAATATCCCAAACTCCTTCTTTAAAGTGCAGGCATTGCACTTCCCATTTCCAGGACTCAAGTCCGACTATATGAAAATAACTGGTTTCCCTGAATCCCTTCACTAAATATTACCCTACTCACACTCCAACAGATCATCAGGTCCCAAGTACCATTTGTCTCCATTCACTCCTATCTAACACGCTCACGCACGCTTGCTGGAAGTCCAAGCCCCTTGCCCACAAAACCTCCTTTACCCCCTCTCTCCAACCCTTTCGAGGACGACCCCTACCTTGCCTTCCTTCCCCTATAGATTTATATGCTTTCCATGTCATTCTACTTTGATCCATTCTCTCTAAATGACCAAACCACCTCAACAACCCCTCTTCTGCCCTCTGACTAATACTTTTATTAACTCCACACCTTTTCCTAATTTCCACACTCCGAATTTCTGCATAATATTTACACCACACAATTGCCCTTAGACAGGACATCTCCACTGCCTCCAACCGTCTCCTCGCTGCTGCATTTACCACCCAAGCTTCATACCCATATAAGAGTGTTGGTACTACTATGCTTTCATACATTCCCCTCTTTGCCTCCATAGATAATGTTTTTGACTCCACATATACCTCAATGCACCACTCACCTTTTTTCCCTCATCAATTCTATGATTAACCTCATCCTTCATAAATCCATCCGCCGACACGTCAACTCCCAAGTATCTGAAAACATTCACTTCTTCCATACTCCTCCTCCCCAATTTGATATCCAAATTTTCTTTATCTAAATCATTTGATACCCTCATCACCTACTCTTTTCTATGTTCACTTTCAACTTTCTACCTTTACACACATTCCCCAAACTCATCCACTAACCTTTGCAATTTTTCTTTAGAATCTCCCATAAGCACAGTATCATCAGCAAAAAGTAACTGTGTCAATTCCCATTTTGAATTTGATTCCCCATAATTTAATCCCACCCCTCTCCCGAACACCCTAGCATTTACTTCTTTTACAACCCCATCTATAAATATATTAAACAACCATGGTGACATTACACATACCTGTCTAAGACCTACTTTTACCGGGAAGTATTCTCCCTCTCTTCTACACACCCTAACCTGAGCCTCACTATCCTCATAAAAACTCTAGAATTATTGAGAATTACTGAGTATATATACGTCAGAAACATTGGCTTGTAAGACGTATTTATACGTCGAAAACAGTCAAAGGGTTAAACGACTTAGTGAAAAGTTGCAACCCCGTGAGCAGGAAAGAATATACAGGCAGGCCCTGCTTTACAGTGCTTTGCTATTTATTTATTCATTCATTCAGGCTTCCTACAATAAATATATTCACCACTCACTTTAAGCTCAGGATGAATATTTTAAGGTATGTAATGTGTGCACTGTACAGTGGTACCTCGGGTTATGAACTATTTCATTCCAGAAGGCTGTTCGAATGCCGATACCAAATGAATTTGTTCCCATAAGGAATAATGCAAACTAGATTAATCTGTTTCAGACCCCCCCAAAAATACACTTACAAAAGCACTTACATAATTGTTCGAGTTTTGAGCTGTTCGTATCCTGAGGTACCACTGTATATGGATTTTTTAGGCCTAGCTATACTGTTAACTCAATATGATAATGAAAACATGTTATCAGGCTTTTATATGCATTTGTACGTGAAAAATCCTATGTTTCACTTTACAGCAATTTTTGCTTTACACCAGTTCCCCAGAACCTAACCTGCTGTATAATGGGGCCCTCTTGTACAGTATACAACCCTGAATATGATAAGAAATGAACATCACCTGTTCTGAGAAATTACCACAACTTATGGTTTACATACTTTTTTCATAAGTTATGCCTTGAAACTGTAATTTGTTAGAGGACTTTTCTAGTTTATACCACTAGTATATAATAATTTCTGGATCCAAATGGTGTAATGGCATTAGTAAAGAAAAGAGACATGTTGAGGTTCTACCTCAGCTGTCCACTTCAAACCAATTATCATAAAACAAAAGGAAGCTATCAGAACCATCATAAACTCACTATGCCCTTATGTAAATTCCTACTAAACCTACTAAATATGAGTGCCATACTTACTAACTACTGCTTACTTCACAATTTCAAAACACTACTGTAATGCTGATGCTGACCTAAGACACTTTCTGGGAAACTGCAACAGGATACATAGGCATCACAAATGCCTCTATATTCCTGGTATGTATTTGCCTAGAAGTCTACAAAAGTTTAATCCAAATAAAAGGGCCAAAAATAAGGAATAGAGTACCAGATTAATTTAAAAATTGTAATTTTCCTAATGAATTCAATAAAAAATTTAGACATTTTTGTGTGTTTAATGTATTTTTCTTAAACAATTTCTAATGCAGCTCATCAAATTGTCATTATACCTTTACATTCAACTTATAAATTACACCACATCCAATGTTTTTAATCATCTCTTCAAAATTATTACATCATTATTGTATTTGTTTTTAAATTCTGAAATTTCATTTTACCATTAAATCTAAATTTAATGTCTTTCACTAACTGCTTAATTTTCACTACAATTTGTATAACAGTATTATGAAACTTTATATAGTGTCCAATATATTTTTTATTTTTTTTTATACTGGTAGTATTAATCTTAACTGTAGTCCTTTTCTATTTAAATAAAATGACCAAAAAATGTGAAACAGCTGACTACTGTAGTTGAAATTAAAAGAACTTTAACATACATAATGAATTTAAACCAAAATTTAAAAACTGATGTGCATAATTATTTCAACCACATTTATGCCATAGCTCTCCCTGAAACTTAGAGAACTCAACAGTTATGTAACCATTTTAATATTACCAGTAAGTAGTTTTCCCTCTAGTCTAAGGTGCCCAAAATGCTGTGCAAACTATGAGTTTTTCAAATGTTATACTGTACTTATGTACAGTACATGTATAATGTTTTGAAAATAAAATTTTGAATTTTAGTTTTTGAATCTGAATCATATCAAGCCATAATATGATAAATCTCTACACAGAGTTAAATGTCCAAATACAACTTTGTTCTGTAGCTTATGTCTTTATCTCGCATAATAATTGTTTGACATACAGTACATATTCAATACTCATTAACTGACCTCTAAAGAGACCTATTATATCACTTATTGATTCCCTGAGTGTCTGTGTCAACATCCATATACAAAGTAATTCTAACAATAATTATTATGCTTTATTTTAAATTTACAAATAACATGATTGTTATTATCATTATACTAAGAACTGATTCCCATACTCATATTAAGCTAAATATCAACATATATCCTAGGTAGTAGGTTGGTAGACAGCAACCGCCCAGGGAGGTACTACCGTCCTGCCAAGTGAGTGTAAAATGGAAACCTGTAATTGCTGGTGTCTTTTTTCTGTCTCATAAACATGCAAGATTTCAGGTACATCTTACTACCTCTACTTACACTTAGGTCACACTACACATACATGTACAAGCATATATATACATACCCCTCTGGGTTTTCTTCTATTTTCTTTCTAGTTCTTGTTCTTGTTTATTTCCTCTTATCTCCATGGGGAAGTGGAACAGAATTCTTCCTCCATAAGCCATGCGTGTCGTAAGAGGCGACTAAAATGCTGGGAGCAAGGGGCTAGTAACCCCTTCTCCTGTATATATTACTAAATTTCAAAGGAGAAACTTTCTTTTTTCCTTCTGGGCCAACCCACCTCGTGGGATACAGCTGGTACATTGAAAGAAGATCAACATATATAGTGAGGATGATTTTTTTTTTTTTATTAAATACACCATCCATCTTCTGTCAAGGTAGGGTGACCCAAAAAGAAGAAAAACTTTCTTCATCATTCACTCCATCACCATCCTGCTAGAGGTGCATTGACATTACAGCTCAGATGCCCATCCTTAATGCAATATCCCACCCCTCTTTTCCAGTGAAGGCTCACACTCCAATAGCACGTCAAGTCATAAAAAAACACTTGTCTCCACTCACTCCTATCTAACATGCTCATACAAGCCTACTGCATGTCTAAGCCTTTAGGACTCAAGACCTTCTTTACTCCCTCCCTTCAACCTTCCCTAAGACCCTACCATTCCTTCCCTCCACCCATGATTTATATGCCCAATTAATCGTCTTTTTTTCTCCATCCTCTCTAAATGTTCAAACCAACTTCAACAACCCCTCCTCACCCCTCTGAATAATACTTTCGGTAACTCCACACTACCTAATTCCCAAAGTTCGAAATTTCTACATAATATTCACACCACACATTGCCTTCAAACACAACATCTCTACTACCTCCAGCCTTCTCCTTGCTATAACATTCAAAACCCATACTTCACACCCATGCAACAGTGTTGGTACCACTAAATTCTAGATCCCTTTTTGCCTCCATGGATCAAGTTCTTTGTCTCCATAGATGCCTCAAAGCACCACCACCCTCCTTCCCTTCATCAAGTCTATGGTTCACCTCATCTCTCATATATTTATAATAAAGTATAATCTATATATTTATAATACTGTATAAAATTTTACTATTTACTTTAAGGCATATATGTAAACATTTTAAAAAATAAACTTCATGAACACACATGAAGTATCAACTCATTTACTTGTAGATAAGCAGGCATAAATGAGGCTATCAAATTAGTGATGATCAAGCAGATATAAAGGCTTTAATGATGTATTTAAACATTTTGAAAATGTACATTGTTGTAATTAATTTTAAAGGAATTTAATTGACATGTATGATAACTTATTAGGTTTTATGCTTCCTGCCCTACTTTTATGTTTATTTTATTTTTTAAATTTTGGTTTTATTAATCATCCAAGCATTTTATGGTGTATCATACCTTTTTTTAGTCAGAGGTAAAATAAATTACATTCCAGATTTTTCTTAGATAAATTTCCAAAAATTTTATGCACTGATACATATGTGTACGAGAATTAACACAATATGTATGCATATTATTAATTTCATACCAAAACTAACCTAGCAATGTAACCAAACCTTGCTAAAATTGATAAAGAATGACACTTTCACTAGGCTTCACTTAATTAACCTTAAATTTTATATATTTGTTCTTTTGTGTGTCTTTAACCCTGCACCTGATTCAGCTGTCAGAAAGGCTGAGATACTATATTTAACAATCATTACACAAACAGCCTGCACTTTGGAAAGGAAACTTTTAACATTTTGGTCAATGACTGAGAACCATTGTAGCACATCAGGTCAATCAAGAAATAAAGTTTTCTCTCCAAAGTTAGGGTTAATTATGAATTATTCCACTCATTGTATTGTAATTTTAATTCTTCTTTAACAATCATTAATTCATTCCAGGTATAGCTGATTTGCTTTTACCATGCAATGACTTTAATATATAGAATAAATTACCTACAGTATTAAATTCTGGTAATATTTTTCAATTTTCAATTTATATGTAGCATATTTAGTGCTTTAGAACTTGCTAAATATAGAAAAAAAAACAAAAAAGTTACACCAAATATGTTTAAACCCAGAATTGTCTGTTTACCTATATTTTCCATGTGTGATCAGAATGTACCATCTTCTTCAAAATCAATGGTTGGTGGTGCTAGTTTCAAGGCAAAGTTTTGTGACAGCCAAATATCCTGATTTCCCGATACTGAGCCCAAACTTCTCCACTGTGTTGGTGTGGGCGAGGCTTCCCCAACACATCCTCCCCGTGGAGTAGATAATTCTTCCAGGAATTGTAATCTTGATCCTCCTGAACCTAATGCTCTTACACGGCGAATGCCTTCCATCTGTGTCTCATCCAGTCCTGCCTATAAAAAACAGAGTAATCGATATTATTTTGTACAAAAATTTTGTTTGCACTATGAATGATGTTTTATTAAGAGAGCAGAATGATGCACAAGAATGGGAGGCAAAGAGAAAACAGAATACAGAATGAAGACCCAGGTAGGAGGAACATCCATATTTACTGAAAGAATGGTGCACATCAGGTAAATGATTGAGACCCACTTAGGTGTATCAGCTCAGTAAAGAAATAACCAGCTACTGTATTTCATCACTGCCTAATGAATAAAGATGCCACTTCTTTCTCAATGTACATGAATGTTAAGTAGTGTATTAAAACTAGGTAATAATAAAGTATGTTGCAGTTTTTGAACTCTAGTACTGTAGTACTGGCACACCTCTGGCAAGACAATGATGGAGTGAATGATGATGAAAGTGTTTCTTCTTTTTCAGGTCACCCTGCCTTGGTGGGAAACTGCCAATGTGTTAAAAAAAAAAAAGATGAGACTTCTTACCAAAGGTTCAGATTTTGCATCATTAGACTGCATCTCCTCTGCTGATGTTTCTTCCTGACTGCTTCCAACACAGAGGACACAGGAAGTTGACTCTCCACCACACTGTGCATGATAACTATGGCCACAACTGGAAAGGAACACAAAAGGGTTTTTGTCTCAGGTCTTTTACAATCACTTAGTCTCACCATTACTGGACAGAGAATATCTCTGAGTAGCAGGAGTGTTAAACAGAGGGTTAATCCATAAAGCTTTTTTTTTTTTTTTTTTAACAAGTCGGCCATCTCCCACCAAGGCAAGGTGACCCAAAAAGAAAGAAAATTCCCCCCCCCCCCCCAAAAAAAAATACTTTCATCCTCATTCAACACTTTCAACTCACACATAATCACTGTTTTTGCAGAGGTGCTCAGAACACAACAGTTTAGAAGCATATAAGTATAAAGATACACAACATATCCCTCTAAACTGTTAATATCCCCAACCCCTCCTTTAGAGTGCAGGCACTGTACTTACCAATTCCAGGATTCAAGTATCATCAGCAAAAAGTAACTGTGTCAATTCCCATTATGTATTTAATTCCCCATAATTTAATCCCACCCCTCTCCTGAACACCCTAGCACTTACTTCTCTTACAACCCCATCTATAAATATATTAAACATCCATGGTGACATTACACATCCCTGTCTAAGACCTACTTTTACTGGGAAGTAGTCTCCCTCTCTTCTACACACCCTAACCTGAGCCTCACTATCCTCATAAAAACTCTTTACAGCATTTAGTAACTTACCACCTATTCCATAAACCTGCAACATCTGCCACATTGCTCCCCTATCCACTCTATCATATTTTTTTTTTTTTTTTTTTCAACAAGTCGGTCGTCTCCCACCGAGGTAGGGTGACCCAAAAAAAGAAAGAAAATCCCCAAAAAGAAAATACTTTCATCATCATTCAACACTTTCACCACACTCACACATTATCACTGCTTTTGCAGAGGTGCTCAGAATACAACAGTTTAGAAGCGTATACGTATAAAGATACACAACATATCCCTTTTCTAAATCCATAAATGCAATAAAAACTTCCCTACCTTTATCTAAATACTGTTCACATATACGCTTCAATGTAAACACTTGATCTACACATCCCCTACCCACTCTGAAACCTCCTTGCTCATCCGCAATCCTACATTCTGTCTTACCTCTAATTCTTTCAATTATAACCCTACCGTACACTTTTCCTGGTATATTAAGTAAACTTATTCCTCTATAATTTTTACAATCTCTTTTGTCCCCCTTCCCTTTATATAAAGGGACTATACATGCTCTCTGCCAGTCCCTAGGTACCTTCCCCTCTTTCATACATTTATTAAACAAAAAACACCAACCACTCCAACACTATATCCCCCCCCCCCCTGCTTTTAACATTTCTGTCATGATCCCATCAGTTCCAGCTGCTTTACCCCCTTTCATTCTACATAACACCTCACACACCTCCCCCACACTCACATCCTGTTCTTCTTCACTCCTAAAAGATGGTATACCTCCCTGGCCAGTGCATGAAATTCAGCCTCCCTTTCTTCGTCGACATTTAAAAGTTCCTCAAAACACTCTCGCCATCTACCCAAAACCTCCATCTCCCAATCTACTAACTCCCCTACTCTGTTTTTAATTGACAAATCCATTCGTTCCCTAGGCTTTCTTAACTTGTTTAACTCACTCCAAAAATTTTTCTTATTTTCATTAAAATTTCTTGACAGTGCCTCTCCCACTCTATCATCTGCTCTCCTTTTGCACTCTCACCACTCTCTTCACCTTTCTTTTACTCTCCATATACTCTGCTCTTCTTATAACACTTATGCTTTGTAAAAACCTCTCATAAGCTAACTTTTTCTCTTTTATCACACCCTTTACTTCATTCCACCAATCACCTCCTCTTTCCTCCTGCACCTACCCTCCTATAACCACAAACTTCTGCCCCACATTCTAATACTGCATTTTTAAAACTATTCCAACCCTCTTCAACCCCCCCCCCCACTACTCATACTTGCACCAGCCCACCTTTCTGCCAATAGTTGCTTATATCTCACCCGAACTTCCTTCTCCCTTAGTTTATACACTTTCACCTCCCTCTGGCTTGTTGCTGCCATTTTCCTCTTTTCCCATCTACCTCTTACTCTAACTGTAGCTACAACTAAATAATGATCCAATATATCAATTGCCCCTCTATAAACGTGTACATCCTGGAGCCTACCCATCAACCTTTTATCCACCAATACATACTCTAACAAACTACTTTCATTACGTGCTATATCATACCTTGTATACTTATTTATCCTCTTTTTCATAAAATATGTATTACTTATTACCAAACCTCTTTCTACACATAGCTCAATTAAAGGCTCCCCATTTTCATTTACCCCTGGCACCCCAAATTTACCTACTACCCCCCTCCACAACATTTTTGCCCACTTTAGCATTGAAATCCCCAACCACCATTACTCTCACACTTGGTTCAAAAGTCCCCACACATTCACTCATCATTTCCCAAAATCTCTCTCTCTCCTCTACACTTCTCTCTTCTCCAGGTGCATATATGCTTACTATAACCCACTTTTCACATCCAACCTTTATTTTACTCCACATAATCCTTGAATTAATACATTTATAGTTCCTCTTTTCCTGCCATAACTTATCCTTCAACATTATTGCTACTCCTCCTTTAGCTGTAATTCTATTTGAAACCCCTGACCTAATCCCATTTACTCCTCTCCACTGAAACTCTCCCATCCCCTTCAGCTTTGTTTCACTTAAAGCCAGGACATCCAGCTTCTTCTCATTCATAACATCCACAATCATCTCTTTCTTATCATTTGCACAACATCAACGCACATTCAGACTTCCCACTTTGACAATTTTCTTCTTATTCTTTTTAGTAATTATTACAGGAAAAGGGGTTACTAGCTCATTGTTCCTGGCATTTTAGTTGACTTTTACAACACGCATGGCTTACGGAGGAAAGATTCTTATTCCACTTCCCCAAGGTTAGACAGCTTAAGCACCTATGTAAACTCTAACAAGTTTAAGCAACCTAGCACCTACATGCACTGTAACAAGGTTAGGTAACATATTCACGTGTGTAACACAATATAACTTTGTTAACCAACGTAAATACCTGTGTGCCACTGCTTTGCTTGACGGGTGGTAAATACTATGACAGATTGCACAGGTGGTTGTGTAGACCACAAGAGGAGAGCAAGCCTGGTTGTGTTGCAGGGTGAGGTATCTTAGCTGGTCCCCTGCTATCATGCGCACCACGGTCGCATACAGAGTCTCCTCATAAACATATCTCTCAACCATTCCTGTTAGGAGAAAAATATTAGTAACACAATTCACCAAGTTTGATAATCTTTTAGTTGTATGAGCATAAATAAATTACAGGAAATGCCTATAAACAATCCTTTGTTTCCTTGATGACACGGCTGACACCTTGGTGCCTGAAGTGAGGTTTAAAGATCAAGGTAAAAGTTACATATGTTCAAGTGGTTTGCAAGGTTCAACCTGCATTATTAACCAAACATCAAAAGCATACAGGACTCCTTATTACACTCTGTAATAATATTTTGTCAACATTTTCTAGGTATTTTTATCTATTTGCTTTTTCTTGGCTCCTCAGTGTTCAGCACAATGCCTTGGTACCTAATTCACAATGCACATATATCTCTTAAGTACTTTTATACACACTATCCATTATTATTAGCATTTTTTACCACACTGACAGTTTTCCACTAAGACAATGTGACTCAAAGAAAGAAACATATTCACCATCATTCATTCAACAGCTCAAGTACACAGACATCACAAACAATTGACCTTCCAAACCACAACATCCCTACCCATCCTTTAGGGTAGTGGTAATGTACATCCCACCTCCATCATTATTATTACTTCTACTACTGTATTAAGTTGTCAGACATACTTTTGTTTAGCTTTCCTGTGTCCCAAATTCATCAAAACTTTTCTAACACTCTACAATGAAATATATGAGCTCCAAATACTGTACTGATAAGTCTCGATGGTACTATACTTCCTTTTAAGCATACAACTTATTGATAAATAAGACAAATGTGCAACACTTGGGTATCTTTAATGAGGAAAATGTTGCACCACACAGTGGCTTCATCAGTCCATACAAAGGAGAACAATGAAGAACAGGAGGAGTTTAAGGTGATCAGTCTCTCAGCCTTGAGTCGATGTGGTCAGTCCATCAATCTTGAAAAGAGTACAGCATATGGGCGAAGAAGTAGCTTATATACTGTAGGCAGGAGAGGTGCAGCAGTTGTAGGTGGTATCACATTTGTTTAATGTGGAAGTAGGTCATGCCTATGGGTTAGGCAAGTGAAGAATTCCCTGTATTAAGATCCCAAGACGTTGCTGTGTCAGACAGGAATGTAGATGAATGGTTCAGGGACTGATTACCTCAAACTCCTCCTGTTCTTCACTGTTCTCTTGTATGGATTGATGAAGCCACTGTGTGGCGAAACGTTTTCCTCATTAAAGATACCCAAGTGTTGCACATGTGACTAATTTATCAACTTGTCGGTTCTCTGAACCATTTATCTACATACAACTTATCGTCACTCCATGCAATTAGGAAATAAATCGTAAACCAAAACAAAACAAGAAAACAGTGCCAAAACAAGCATATGGCACCAATAACATTTTTCAGTGGTTAAGAGGAGGGGCCTAAAGAGTTAGCGCTCGTTCCCTCCCAATACTATTACTGGAGATTACTATGAATAACTAAAGTATAATGAACACTTGTCACTGCTCAATAATAACCCACATGGTTACTATATTTAGGTAATTCTACAGACTTCAAATCATTGTTTGTAGAAGCCTTTTAGCATACTGGACGTCTTTTAGCAAACTTAAAATGACCAAAGAATACAAGTCTTTTCTACAATGTTCATTCTAAAGATACCTCCCCAGAAAATTTTACCCATATAGATAGTTACCTTTGTTTTTTATTTACAAACTCGCTCAACAGCCCAGGAAAACAAGAAGTAATAATCTTAGTAACTCAGTAAAGAATCTGTCTCACAACCTGAAGAATCTAATTTTAATTCTCAAAAGAGAGTTTCCTTACACCTGCTGCTCATGTTTTCTAAGTAGTAACTGAGTACATAGAATTCATTGACTAATGTAAGTTGCATCCAGAGAAAGGGTCCCAGTTTCAATATTCATAACTACTTAGCGTGCTGTGTTTTACTTAGTTATTAATACCCTCTGGGGTAAAATAAGCCAAGGATGTCTTAAACTAACTAATGACACAACGAAACTTTGAAAATGTATAATGCACATTACTTGCCTTTTAGAAGATGTTTGATCTGGGCAAAATTTCCACCACAGTACCCAGGGTCATGCATTACACGCTCTAAGATTGCTGGCAGAGATATGTGGGTCATCATGCTATTGACTACATGACCAACCATTCCACGCATCTCTGAAGAAAATTGTTAAGGTTTCAAATTAATACCTGGTACTTGTGATTTAAAAGAGTAGCAAAATCCATGAGTATTACGGGAAACAACAGTAGGACAGAAGAGCATATGCAGAATGTCAAAAAGTAAATGGAAAAATCCATATACATGTAGTACAGTGGTTAACCATTTTCCCAGGCTTCCTGGTAACACAAGCTGTCTGTTAACTAGTAAGATCCATTAGTGACATCAATAACTAACAGAGTAAAAATAAAGTGTAAGCATAAAATGGCATACCATGAGCTAATTGGTGGTGGTTGACAAGTGGAGGCTGAGTAGACAGTAGGACATCTAGCAAGGGAAACCACAACTCTCGACGCCCCGACTCTGCCAGCTGACTGGACCCCAGCTGACACACACGCACTAGCTTTACAACCTGTCATGAGTACCTCACTTTACCAAACATTCTACAATTTACAATTAATGAATCCTTTGCAAGAAAACATTAGGCAGATTATACAACTAAGAACAATTAATCCTTTTCTACCCAAGGTGGACATGTAAAAGGCACATGAATTGTTGGCCAATTCTGCATTAAAATGTGTTTTCAATATATATATTAAGCAATCAAAGTAAGCAATGAGAAATTTCCCTACTCAATAGAACACTCTATATCCCTTCATTTTTCTAATTAAGTTAAAACAACACTATAAAGTTAACAATAGAATTGATGAAGGAAAAAAGGTGAGTGGTGCACTGAGGTATCTGTGGAGACAAAAAATATTATCCATAGAGGCAAAGAAGGGAATGTACGAAAGTATAGTAGTATCAACACTCTTATATGGGTGTGAAGCTAGGGTTGCAAATGCTGCAGCGAGGAGGTGGATGGAGGCAGTGGAGATGTCCTGTCTAAGGGCAATGTGTGGTGTAAATATTATGCAGACTAGTTAAAAAAAAAAAAAATAATAATAAAGAAGGCACAATTCCATGAGCGGAACAATACATAAATAATCCAAGTTAAAATGAAATGTTTTCATAATTTTCAGTCTCCTATGTGTGGGTTGTGTGTAGAATGACACTATTAACAGCAACAGCCTGGTTGACCAGGCAGTTAACAGGAAAATCAGACCTTGGGCAGGGCCGAGGAAGTAGAGCCTTTGAAACAGTCACAGATATAATGCAGTACAGTGGAACCTCAGTTTTCGTCGTTAATTCGTTCCAGAAAGTCTGACAAAAACCAAATTTGATGAAAACTGAAGCAATATTTCCTATAAGAAATAGTGTAAATCCAATTAATCTGTTCCAGACACCCAAAAGTATTAACAAAAAATACATTTTATAGAAAATAACTCTAGTTTTACATACAAAAAACAATGGGAAATAAATATAAAGGACTAATGAAATGGATAAATGAACATTTAACATCACTTTTACCTTTATTGAAGACTCTTGTTGGCATATAAAAGATGGTGAGGAGGGGAAAGATTATCTCTACCACCAACACTACCACCCTCTACCACCATCACAGCCACTACCACCCTCTACCACTATCACTACCACCCTCAACCACCATCACTACCACCCTCTACCGACGAGAAACAAAGCCAGACTGACTCAAAATGCGTACTCACCTAATTGTGGTTGCAGGGGTCGAGACTCAGCTTTGTGTGCGCGCGGGTGGACACGTATGGTATGGCGGACCACTGTCAACTCGCCAAAAACTGAGGTGATGAACGAAAACTGGGACAAAATTTTGACGAAAAGAGTCATCGAAAAACGAATTTGACGAAAACCAGGGCAAATGAAAACCGAGGTTCCACTGTAAATAAAAATAATATGTAGCAAAAGTGGATGACTTACCTGAGCCTGAACATGACCCAATGACACCAAGAAATTGGTGGCACCATCTTCGTTGTCCTTTACACTAGACAAAAGCTGAAAGGAAACAATAGAAAAACAGATCAATACAATTAAAAATGAAGGCTAATGAAAGCTAATGCCTGGCAAAAAAATTACTGTCAAAAAGAGTGCCATTTCTGATACTTAAATATTTTTTTTTTTTATTATCACACCGGCCGATTCCCACCAAGGCAGGGTGGCCCGAAAAAGAAAAACTTTCACCATCATTCACTCCATCACTGTCTTGCCAGAAGGGTGCTTTACACTACAGTTTTTAAACTGCAACATTAACACCCCTCCTTCAGAGTGCAGGCACTGTACTTCCCATCTCCAGGACTCAAGTCCGGCCTGCCGGTTTCCCTGAATCCCTTCATAAATGTTACTTTGCTCACACTCCAACAGCACGTCAAGTATTAAAAACCATTTGTCTCCATTCACTCCTATCAAACACGCTCACGCATGCCTGCTGGAAGTCCAAGTCCCTCGCACACAAAACCTCCTTTACCCCCTCCCTCCAACCCTTCCTAGGCCGACCCCTACCCCCCTTCCTTCCACTACAGACTGATACACTCTTGAAGTCATTCTGTTTCGCTCCATTCTCTCTACATGTCCGAACCACCTCAACAACCCTTCCTCAGCCCTCTGGACAAACAGTTTTGGTAATCCCGCACCTCCTCCTAACTTCCAAACTACGAATTCTCTGCATTATATTCACACCACACATTGCCCTCAGACATGACATCTCCACTGCCTCCAGCCTTCTCCTCGCTGCAACATTCATCACCCACGCTTCACACCCATATAAGAGTGTTGGTAAAACTATACTCTCATACATTCCCCTCTTTGCCTCCAAGGACAAAGTTCTTTGTCTCCACAGACTCCTAAGTGCACCACTCACTCTTTTTCCCTCATCAATTCTATGATTCACCTCATCTTTGATAGACCCATCCGCTGACACGTCCACTCCCAAATATCTGAATACGTTCACCTCCTCCATACTCTCTCCCTCCAATCTGATATTCAATCTTTCATCACCTAATCTTTTTGTTATCCTCATATCCTTACTCTTTCCTGTATTCACCTTTAATTTTCTTCTTTTGCACACCCTAACCAAATTCATCCACCAATCTCTGCAACTTCTCTTCAGAATCTCCCAAGAGCACAGTGTCATCAGCAAAGAGCAGCTGTGACAACTCCCACTTTGTGTGTGATTCTTTATCTTTTAACTCCACGCCTCTTGCCAAGACCCTCGCATTTACTTCTCTTACAACCCCATCTATAAATATATTAAACAACCACGGTGACATCACACATCCTTGTCTAAGGCCTACTTTTACTGGGAAAAATTTCCCTCTTTCCTACATACTCTAACTTGAGCCTCACTATCCTCGTAAAAACTCTTCACTGCTTTCAGTAACCTACCTCCTACACCATACACTTGCAACATCTGCCCATTGCCCCCTATCCCACCCTTCATACGCCTTTTCCAAATCCATAAATGCCACAAAGACCTCTTTAGCCTTATCTAAATACTGTTCACTTATATGTTTCACTGTAAACACCTGGTCCACACACCCCCTACCTTTCCTAAAGCCTCCTTGTTCATCTGCTATCCTATTCTCCGTCTTACTCTTAATTCTTTCAATTATAACTCTACCATACACTTTACCAGGTACACTCAACAGACTTATCCCCCTATAATTTTTGCACTCTCTTTTATCCCCTTTGCCTTTATACAAAGGAACTATGCATGCTCTCTGCCAATCCCTAGGTACCTTACCCTCTTCCATACATTTATTAAATAATTGCACCAACCACTCCAAAACTATATCCCCACCTGCTTTTAACATTTCTATCTTTATCCCATCAATCCCGGCTGCCTTACCCCCTTTCATTTTACCTACTGCCTCACGAACTTCCCCCACACTCACAACTGGCTCTTCCTCACTCCTACAAGATGTTATTCCTCCTTGCCCTATACACGAAATCACAGCTTCCCTATCTTCATCAACATTTAACAATTCCTCAAAATATTCCTTCCATCTTCCCAATACCTCTAACTCTCCATTTAATAACTCTCCTCTCCTATTTTTAACTGACAAATCAATTTGTTCTCTAGGCTTTCTTAACTTGTTAATCTCACTCCAAAACTTTTTCTTATTTTCAATAAAATTTGTTGATAACATCTCACCCACTCTCTCATTTGCTCTCTTTTTACATTGCTTCACCACTCTCTTAACCTCTCTCTTTTTCTCCATATACTCTTCCCTCCTTGCATCACTTCTACTTTGTAAAAACTTCTCATATGCTAACTTTTTCTCCCTTACTACTCTCTTTACATCATCATTCCACCAATCGCTCCTCTTCCCTCCTGCACCCACTTTCCTGTAACCACAAACTTCTGCTGAACACTCTAACACTACATTTTAAACCTACCCCATACCTCTTCTACCCCATTGCCTATGCTCTCATTAGCCCATCTATCCTCCAATAGCTGTTTATATCTTACCCTAACTGCCTCCTCTTTTAGTTTATAAACCTTCACCTCTCTCTTCCCTGATGCTTCTATTCTCCTTGTATCCCATCTACCTTTTACTCTCAGTGTAGCTACAACTAGAAAGTGATCTGATATATCTGTGGCCCCTCTATAAACATGTACATCCTGAAGTCTACTCAACAGTCTTTTATCTACCAATACATAATCCAACAAACTACTGTCATTTCGCCCTGCATCTAAAATTAATTTATTCCTCATAAAATAGATAAAAGCAAATTCAAAATTGAGAGATAATTAATGCTTAAACAGTGGAAAATATAGGTTGGTAGAAATCAACCATCCAGGGAGATACCACTGTCTTGTCATATGAGAGGGCGATACTATTACAGGTACAACTCCAATTTTCCAGCACCCTTGATTCCTAGGCTTTGCTGGTACACATAAAAAAAAAACAATCTCAATCAACCACTAAACATTAGCATCTGCAAGTGTTACAGAGACCAAAAATAGCACAAAATATTACACTAATACCATATCTGGGCAAGAAAATGGAATGAAAGTTACAAATCTGCTACAATCCACAAGCTTTTACCAGAATGAATACCTTGTAGATACTGAGGGACTACAGTATGTAAGAATACAATAACAATGTTTCCACCTAAGTTGGCAACCTGAATGTAGTATATGAAGTCTTGGTAATCCAGCTATACAGTAACCTGGTTGGCTTTCTCTACAAGAACCAACATACAGTGTTACAGCATCGCACATTACAAGCATTGGTGTCCTCAAACCTGGTAAAGGATTCAAGCTAAACAATACTTGCCTACCATATTTGTTTTTGCCTTTGACCCTGAATTTCACAGTTTCATGTTTCACCTGATCAGTTTTAACCAATATGTATGAAACAGGAAATCTTAGATGGAGAACAGGCAAACTGAACAAAACAGGATATATACAAACAAAAAAAATTGGAGGAGGTTTTGTGGTCGAGGGGCTTGGACTTCCAGCAAGTGTGCATGAGCGTATTAGGTAGGAGTGAATGGAGACGAATGGTATTTGGGACCTGATGAGCTGTTGGAGTGTGAGCAGGGTAATGTTTAGTGAAAGGATTCAGATATTTCAGATATTTGGGAGTTGACGTGTCAGCAGATGGATTTATGAAGGATGAGATTAATCATTGTAGGTAGTAGGTTGGTAGACAGCAACCACCCAGGGGGGTACTACCATCCTGCCAAGTGAGTGTGAAACGAAAGCCTGTAATTGTTTTACATGATGGTAGGATTGCTGGTGCCCTTTTTTCTGTCTCATAAATATGAAAGATTTCAGGTACGTCTTGCTACATCTACTTACACTTAGGTCACACTACATATACATGTACAAGCACATATATACACACCCCTCTGGGTTTTCTTCTATTTTCTTTCTAGTTCTTGTTCTTGTTTATTTCCTCTTATCTCCATGGGGAAGTGGAACAGAATTCTTCCTCCGTAAGCCATGTGTGTTGTAAGAGGCGACTAAAATGCCGGGAGCAAGGGGCTAGTAACCTCTTCTCCTGTATATATTACTAAATGTAAAAGAAGAAGCTTTCGTTTTTCCTTTAGGGCCACCCCGCCTTGGTGGGATACGACCGGTTTGTTGAAAGAAAGAAAAGAAGAGATTAATCATAGAATTGATGAAGGAAAAAAGGTGAGTGGTGTGTTCAGGTATATGTGGAGACAAAAAAAAGTTATCTATGGAGGCAAAGAAGGGAATGTATGAAAGTATAGTGGTACCAACACTCTTATATGGGTGTGAAGCTTGGGTTGTAAATGCTGCAGCGAGGAGACGTTTGGAGGCAGTGGAAATGTCCTGTTTAAGGGCAATGTGTGGTGTAAATATTATGCAGAAAATTTGGAGTGTGGAAATTAGGAGAAAGGGTGGAGTTAATAAAAGTATTAGCCAGAGGGTTGAAGAGGGGTTGTTGAGGTGGTTTGGTCATTTAGAGAGAATGGATCAAAGTAGAATGACATGGAGAGCGTATAAATCTGTAGGGGAAGGAAGGCGGGGTAGGGGTCGTCCTTGAAAAGGTTGAAGGGAGGGGGTAAAGGAGGTTTTGTGGGTGAAGGGCTTGGACTTCCAGCAAGCGTGCATGAGCATGTTAGATAGGAGTGAATGGAGACAAATGGTATTTGGAACCTAACAAGCTGTTGGAGTGTGAGCAGGGTAATATTTAGTGAAGGGATTCAGGGAAACCGATTAATTTTATAGAGCTGGACTTGAGTCCTGGAAATGGGAAGTACAATAATTGCACTTTAAAGAGGGGTTTGGGATATTGGCAGTTTGGAGGGATATGTTGTGTATCTATATATGTACATGCTTCTAAACTGTTGTATTCTGAGCACCTCTGCAAAAACAGTGATTATGTGTGAGTGAGGTGAAAGTGTGGAATGATGATGAAAGTATTTTCTTTTGGGGGATTTTCTTCCTTTTTGGGTCACCCTGCCTAGGTGGGAGACGGCCAACTTGTTTAAAAAAAAAAAAATTGTTTTTTGTCATACTTCCGAAAACCCAATACGCATAAATATGTTAATAACAGCATGTACTTACATCATCTACTTTGGTCTTGAGAATGACTAGAAGAACATCAAAAGCACCTTTAATATCTCCTGCTCTTTCAAGAAGGTAGGCTGTTGACTCTTGTCGATTGTGCCTTTTGCAGATCTGCAGAAGAAAGTTTATAACCATGAACAGCCATTATTAGATTATAAAAGACACAAATGCAAGTACATAGTAGGCATTTTATATTATTTCCTTAACATATACTGAATTTATATTATACAATAAAGAATTTTCATGAGGAGTGTGAGGCTTAGGTTAGGGTATATAGGAGAGAAGGGGAGTATTTTTCAGTAAAATAGGTCACAGAAGGCATATGTAATGTCACCATAGTTGGTTATAAATTTAAAGATGAGGATGCAAAAAGAAATGAATGCTTGAATGTTATGTAGAGATGCATAAAGAGTCAAAAAATCATGCTTAGTGGAAGAGATGAAAGATTTTCAGCCATACCCAACCTTCTCCTTTCTCCCTCCCTCAGACAATTTCATATTTTTTTCAGCTGTTACTATACAAAATACATTTGTCTTTGATATGGTATGGGTCAGGAAATGTGGAAATTTAGATATGCATTTAAAAAATGTCTTGGTTGCCTTTGGATTAAATACATAAGTATACTGTGTGGTATGAAAATACTCACAGTGATGTGTCCAATTAAACCAGCAAATAATTTAAAAATAAACAAAAAATTACCCTAATGCTCAAAGCATCTAACTGGACAAACCAAGGATCTGTCCAATACAGTGCAGATAATCAAGCATCTACTATACAACAATCAGCATAAGGTACCTCTAAAGTTTTTTCCAGTCTGTAGCCTTCAGCACCTTTAAGATATGGGTAAACTTGGTTGGGATTTACTTTGCACATGAGGTCAATGTACTTTTCATGAAGTATTGAGGTTAGAGGACTGTCACTGAGGTCTGCACCACGCCCTCCTGGAGATGCATGGGTGGATCTGGAAAATGATCAACTCAATTTTGTATTCTGATTCCAAAGAGTGTGCGAGTAATTCTCAAAAAGAAATTTGCATTTGTAGCATGACTAGAAGCTACAATAGTTGACTAGCAAATGGTGGCAACAAGAAAGATAGAGATACAATATGCCAAGCAACTCTTTATTCTGAAGACCTTTCACTCATGACCCAATGAAGCTCAACACCGAGTGAAATGTTGCCAGAATAAAGACTGCTCTGTATTCTGTCCCTCTTTACTATAAAAACATTAGAAACATGCATATATCAACATACAATACACACTCCTGTATTAGATTTGAAAGGGAGACAATCATACAAGAAGGGAAAATAAAACACTGCTATAAAATATAAAAAGATTTAAAAACAAAGTCAAAGATACCTTTCCTCCTACATATATGAAAAACATTAAATCAATATTCAACAAGAAAACAGTCATAGCCAAAAACTTGAAGAAAATACCAAACTATAGAATGTGTTCTTACCTATATGTAAAGAGTGCATGAAGAGCATTGTATAGATACTGATCATCATCCTTTAGGTGTAGTGTGATATCATTCAAGAGAGGTGTCAACTGAGACATAGTTAGTAGAAGGCTGGCGACACGGCTGCTGTCAATATCCAGCAATGTCTGTAAGGAATTATTGTACAATTAATATATTTGATCAGATTGTGGAAACAAAGCCCTAACATAAATGAATATGGGACACAATGAGCTTAACTCTATTCCTGTAGCTACACACATAAAAACACTGAATGTATTACAGCCAGTAAAGCAACCTATCTTCTGTTCATTAATCAAGTCCCCAGGCCTCTCCTATATTACACTTATCCTCCATTTTGAATTCATCACACAAAAAATGAAGTTTTACCCAATGTCTAAGATAAAATATAACCAGGAAAGATTGGTCATGGTTGAAGGCATCCCAATAATTGAAGCAGACCTAGTAAAAAGTAAGTAGTAGGTTGGTAGACAGCAATCACCCAGGGGGGTACTACTGTCCTGCCAAGTGAGTGTGAAATGAAAGCCTGTAATTGTTTTACATGATGGTAGGAGTGCTGGCGTCCATTTTTCTGTCTCATGAACATGCAAAGTTTCAGGTACGTCTTGCTACTTCTACTTACACTTAGGTCACACTACACATACATGTACAAGCATATGTATACATATATACCCCTCAGGGTTTTCTTCTATTTTCTTTCTAGTTCTTGTTCTTGTTTATTGTTTATTTCCTCTTATCTTCATGGGGAAGTGGAACAGAATTCTTCCTCCATAAGCCATGCGTGTCATAAGAGGCGACTAAAATGCCGGGAGCAAGGGGCTAGTAACCCCTTCTCCTGTATATATTAATAAATGTAAAAGGAGAAACTTTCGTTTTTTCTTTTGAGCCACCCCGCCTCAGTGGGATATGGCCGGTTTGTTGAAAGAATTGAAAGACCTAGTAAAAATCCATAAAACAAACCAGGAAAAAGACACCTTCAGGAAAACCATCAAAAATTAAATATTTCCATTAATTTGAGCCCAATTTCAAAATGCTTCCAGTCCTGAAACCAACCAATGTCATCTTTATTTCAATAGTATATCTTCCATTATATCAACTGATACCAAGAAGTAGCCAATAAAGTCATAAAAACTATCCTAGAAAACACCTCAAAGTTGGTATCTTAAAGAATACACAAGGTCAGAGGTCTGCTTCTCCTGTCATGCACACTTATCATGCATAGTGTGAGGCAGGATTGTTTTTTATACAGTGTACACTCACTGCACAGACTCATGTCTAGGCCATAATTTACTGCTCACAGCATATCTGAGGGCACTGTGCTTAACCCCTTGAGGGTCTGTGCTGTAGATCTATGGCTTTACGTTGAGGGTCCAAACCGTAGATCTACATCATGAGCTCAGCTCACTCTGATAAGCTGTGAGTGGTAAATTTTGGCCTTGATATGAGAGAATACATCTATGTGGTATGTGTGCACCACATAAAACAAATCCTGCAGCACATAGTGCATAGTGAGAGAAAAAAAACTGAGACCGTAATTTTCAATTAAAACAGTGACTTTGCAGTGTTTATTCGTATGTTTTTTATAGTTGTATTTGCGATTTCTTGGTCTCATTGGATAGAATTGAGGACATATTACATAAAAAGATGTGATTTTGATTAATTTTAGTATTGGAAATGGCTTGAAACTGAGCTCAAAGTAGCAGAAATGTTAAATTTTTACTGATGTTCAAGAGTAAACAAATGACCTCACACGTCTAATACACGCCTGCTGGTGAGTCTAATATACGTTCACAAATGTGCTGATATTATTCATACAATTATTACAATACTGCGTAACAGTAAATCTATTTTTTTGGTTTGAATAAAAATTCATTATGTGAATAAAAAATCAAAATGGAATTCATTAGTAAAGCCTGAAAACGTAACTAATGAACAGAGGAAATGTTAGTTTAGTGCCAGGAATGCCTGCATTGTTTATTCTGGACCCTATTTTGAAATTGGAGTATTTTGAACTTTGCATTAAATTGGCCAAATTACCAATTTCCAATCACTTTATTTTGTAGTTGAAACAGTCGACTTGGCAAATTCTTGTGCTCAATCGATAGAATAGAAGTAATTCTAGTGAAATAGCAAAGAATTTGGTCGACTGGAATAATGTAATTGGCCTAAAATGGGAGTCAAAGTCGGCAAAATCGCCGATGCGTAAATATCGCTGACATATCAAAATTCGCGAGAGCATAATTTCATAAATTTTCCATCAAATTTCATACTTTTTGTTTTATTACCTTCAGAAAAAGATTCTCTACCATTTCATAAGAAAAAATAACAAAATTATTTTTTGAAAATTCTTGGACACTGGTGCATCCTTTGAAATTTGGCCTCTGGACCCTGAAAGGGTTAAAACACAGAATTATAGTAGCTCTACATAAGTGACAGTGAAAGGGTTAAAACTTACAAAATCCAAAATCCATGCAAACTTTCCTTTGAGAAAAATCCACCATCGCTGAAGTTTGAAGCCTATCAAAAGAAGTATTTTCTAGTTCTTTCTTGGAATTAAATAAATCCAAGTCTATTAGCTATGTTAGTTAACTGGCAAATTTGCATTTACACAACCTAAACTTATAGGGTATCATTCTATTCATAAGATGAATTGGCCAATAGAGATTGGAGCTGTTCAGGGAAGACATAAACATGCAAGATTTCAGGGATGTCTTGCTACTTCTACTTGACTTAAGTCACATTACACTTGCATATACAAGCATATATATACACACCCCTCTGGGTTTTCTTCTATTTTCTTACTGGTTCTTGTTCTTGTTCTTGTTCTTGTTTATTTCCTCTTATCTCCATGGGGAAGTTGAACAGAATTCTTCCTCCGTACGCCATGTGTGTTGTATGAGGCGACTAAAATGCCGGGAGCAAGGGGCTAGTAACCCCTTCACCTGTATACATTACTAGTTAAAAAGAGAAACTTTTGTTTTTCTTTTTGGGACACCCTGCCTCAGTGGGATACGGGCAGTTTTTTGAAAGAAGAAGAAAGAAAGATTTTAATAAATACACACAGTAGCAGCATGTGTCTATCACTTACTTTTATATGTCGGAGAAATTGTTGCTGTATCTTCTGAGCGTGGAGATCAGTAAACTGAGGTGATGACAAGACTGAACGTATGTAAGTGAAAACTTGATGTCTCCGTAGCTTGTCTTCCAAATAACACTCAACAATCTTCTCATGCTCTCCTCTTTCCTCGTAAACATATTCACACACCCGATAGCTGAAGTGTGAGAGATTAAGCCATTCAAAGTTACACAAAGATGAAGATTTTTTTTCTACAGTATGCACATTTTCACCTGTCCTGCACTATATTCAGATTACTTTTTTAATAACACTGGCCATTTCCCAACAAGACAGGAGCCTTCATGACGGAAACATAATGAATAAAAAGGCACAATACCATGAGTGGAACAATATGCTAATAACCCTGCACATGGGAGAAAGAAACATATGACAATGTTTCAGTCCAACTTGAACCATTAACTAGTCACACTGTGGCTAGTTAATGGTCCTAGTCAGATCAAAACATTGTTGTAAGTTTCTTTCTCCTGTGAGTGGGTTATCTGTGCATGGAAGCAATCCTCTCAGTCATCAAACCTTAATGGCTGACAAAATAAGCCATGCAGTGTACATTTTATAAATTGACTGAAGCCAATGGAAGGTATTCAGTGCCACAAGTCAGTGGTACAGTACTCTGATAGTTTTACATAAGATATTGAAGGCCACAACTGTGTCACTCCGGGGCCACAGGGTGTGCATCCTTGCTCAAAATCATAATATAAAATGAACTTAAAAAAAAAGTGATACATACTTTTAAGAAATAAAACAAAAAGTAAGGCTAGATTGCTAATTCTTACAATTTTGCTTTACGTGCTTTTTCCAGAAGATGATCAGTATCGTAGTGCACAAGGCCGCCTTCTTGCAATAACTCCAGTAAAGCTGTCTGCCGCTCCTCGTGGTGGCTTTCAGTGCCAGGAACTGTCAGATGGCATAGTACCTGGCCATTAAGATATACAGTAATTTTCTATGATAAATAAGTTTAAGCAAAAGAAATAGGAGTGTGTGTTGGCAGTACATTCTAAATTTAAATGACAATAATTTTTGTTAACACGTCGGCCGTTCCCCACCAAGGCAGGGTGACCCAAAAATAAAGAAAAGCCCCAAAAGAAGGAAAAAACTTTTATCATCATTCAACACTTTCACCATCACTCACACATAATCACCATCTTTGCAGAGGAGCTCAGATATAACAGTTTAGGTGCTACTCCAAACCAGGGATGTATCGGATGTGAAAATTTAGATATCCACGGATGCAGATGTGTATTCGGATGTCTTACTTACCTATTTTGCAGATGCGGATGCAAATACGGATATCTGCTTATAGTACAATACGGATGCGGATTGCGGATGTCACATCTTGACATCCTCCCAGATGTGGATGCGGATGCGAATTTTGCAGGATAGTCATAGAACACTAGATTTTTTTTTTTACCGTATGACAAATACTCTTGTGAGTGAGGGACTGAACACATCGATTCCAGGCTGAGGGACTGATTACTTGAAACTCCTCTCCTTATGCCTTCCTGCTTTGCATTGGACTGATGAAGCCACTGTGTGGCGAAAAGTTTCTTCAATAAAGATTCCCATATGTTGCATAAGTGTCTCAATTCTTTAAGCTGTCAGTTTCCAAACCATTTATCACATGCTTATTTGTATTTAATACCATTTCAGCAATTTCACCATCACTCAAGGAATGCACAGCAGTGGAGTTATGTAGAGATGACTGACGCTCCACACAAAATTAAGATGGAACACTGCAGCAAGCCTACTGGCCCGTGTGAGGCAGGTCCAATTCTCCCACCTTGGGTAGTTTCAAATTTAGGTTGGATAAATACATGAGTGAGAGGAGTTGGATTTGAGTGGGACTTGCACGTGAGTCCCACTCACGTGCAAGTCCCACTCAGAATTATCAAAGCTTATTATGATCGAGGCTAGAACCTTGGGTAGCTTTAAAGAGAGATTGGACAAATATATGAGTGGGAGGGGATGAGTTTGATTGGTGTCGTGGATGCGGGAGTGAATTCTTGAGTAGCTTTGGGTAGTGGTGGTTTTGATAAGGACTTGCCTTGTATGGGCCAGTAGGCCTTCTGCAGTGTTGCTCCATTCTTATGTTCTTCTTATTGCTTGGATAGCGTTTATTCTGTTAGTGGGTTGAATTTGTGAAGGACTTGCCTAGTATGTGCCAACAGGCCTACTGCAGTGTTCCTTCTTTTTTATGTTCTTCTTATATTCTTAGTCAGGTCAGGTCACATTCACTTAAAAACATGGTATAAACCTTGGTAATAAATACCGACAAGTTGGTTTAGAAAGACACATAAGCAAACACTATAACATATTTATTAGAAAACGTTTCGGTCCTGGGACCCTGATCACTTCTAACATACAGAGGTAGAAAGACATTATATATAGGCGGAGAGTGAGATGTGACGCACGTGACCTGAGGAAAGTCATAAGAACATAAGAATGGAGGAACACTGTAGAAGGCCTACTGGCCCATGCGAGGCAGGTCCTTATCAAAACAACCTCTACCTATGATGAGGATGGGTAGACGATGAAATCATGTGACTCCTGTGTTGTTGGGTTGGTGCTGCTTAAGTATCACGTATGCCAATGTTTTTGAAATTTTGTAGTTTCCAGTGTTGCGTTCTATAATGTCGGTGACGGCGATTAGTGAGGCTTCTAGGCACCATCGGCGTCTGAGGTCTGGTTCGGTGAGAACGAGTTGTGCCTCATTCCAGTTCATCAAATGCCCCGTGGAGTCTCTGTGGAGGACACAGGCGTACCTTACATCGTCTCTGTTAGAGGCATTTCGATGCTCATTCAGGCGGACTGCAAGATCTCTGCCTGTCTCGCCTACATATTTCTTGGGACAGAACCCACAGGGGATAGTGTAGATGCCTGCTGTAGAAGTTAGAGGTGTGGGGCTGCGTTTCGTAGTGAGGTCTTTGATAGATGATGTGTTTATGGTGGAAACGTTGATGTTATTCATAGCAAGTGCCCGGCGAGTATTCGTGGCAACATCGCCACATGGGAGTACCATGAACTGTTTTGGGGGCTGTTCATGGTACTCCCATGTGGCGATGTTGCCACGAATACTCGCCGGGCACTTGCTATGAATAACATCAACGTTTCCACCATAAACACATCATCTATCAAAGACCTCACTACGAAACGCAGCCCCACACCTCTAACTTCTACAGCAGGCATCTACACTATCCCCTGTGGGTTCTGTCCCAAGAAATATGTAGGCGAGACAGGCAGAGATCTTGCAGTCCGCCTGAATGAGCATCGAAATGCCTCTAACAGAGACGATGTAAGGTACGCCTGTGTCCTCCACAGAGACTCCACGGGGCATTTGATGAACTGGAATGAGGCACAACTCGTTCTCACCGAACCAGACCTCAGATGCCAATGGTGCCTAGAAGCCTCACTAATCGCCGTCACCGACACTATAGAACGCAACACTGGAAACTACAAAATTTCAAAAACATTGGCACACATGATACTTAAGCAGCACCAACCCAACAACACAGGAGTCACATGATTTCATCGTCTACCCGTCCTCATCATAGGTAGAGGTTGTTTTGATAAGGACCTGCCTCGCATGGGCCAGTAGGCCTTCTACAGTGTTCCTCCATTCTTATGTTCTTATGACTTTCCTCAGGTCACGTGCGTCACATCTCACTCTCCGCCTATATATAATGTCTTTCTACCTCTGTATGTTAGAAGTGATCAAGGTCCCAGGACCGAAACGTTTTCTAATAAATATGTTATAGTGTTTGCTTACGTGTCTTTCTAACCCAACTTAAAAACATAAGAAAGAAGGAACACTGCAACAGGCCTGTTGGCCCATACTAGGCAAGTCCTTCACAATCCATCCCACTAACAGAATATTTGCCCAACCCAATTTTCAATGCTACCTAAGCAATAAGCTTTGATAATTCTATTTACTCAAGTGAAAGTCCCACTCAAATCCAACCCCTCTCACTCATGTGTTTATCCAATCTAATATATTTATCAAACGCTATTTACATCCCCTATATTAATTCTTGTTTTTCATTCATACACCTCCACAGTGTGAGTGACTGTGTGAGAGTCTCACACACACAGTGGGACTTACACATGGGTAGTTTCACATTTAGGTTGGATAAATACAAACTGCATTAATAGATTCAAATTAGATAAGTTTAGATTTGGAGAGGATATAGGAAAGTATTGGTTTAGTAATGGGGTAGTTGACGAGTGGATCGGTCTGCCTAGTATGGTTATTGAAGCTAAAGCCTTGGGTAGTTTCAAATTTAGGTTGGGTAAGTACATGAGGGAGAGGGGTTGGATTTGAGAGGGACTTGCACATGAGTAAATGGAATTGTCAAGGCTTATTGTTTAGGTAACGTTTATTCTGTTAGTGGATTGGATTTGTGAAGGACCTGCCGAGTATGGGGCAACAGGCCTACTGTTGGGAAATAAACATGCAAGCTCTGTAATTTAGGTTATAACATCCGTCACATCCTCATTGTTTGGCGCGGATGCAAATGCAGATATTTATTTAATGATGATTGAGGATGTGGATATCTCGTTTAGAAAAAAATAAGGATGCGGATGTAAGAAATTGTGCAGATGTTCCGCGGATACGGATATCCGATACATCCCTACTCCAAACAGCCAATATCCCAAACCCCTCCTTTAAAATGCAGGCATTGTACTTCTCACCTCCAAGACTCAAGTCCAGCTAACCAGTTTCCCTGAATCCCTTCACAAAATATTACCCTGATCACACTCCAACAGCTCGTCATGCCAGAAATAAATGGTATAAAATACCGACACAATGGAAATATAAACACATATGCAGCATAATGTGATCCTTTATTGACAACGTTTGACCCACACAGTGGGCTTTTTCAAGTCACAAACAGATATACCTGGGGTGGAAGGTATGAGAGTATTTATAGTCAGGTTCAGAATGCTGGGTCAGGTGGAGAATGCTGCATCTGATGATCTACCGAGTGGGGTTATATAACCCCACTCGGTAGATCATCAGATGCAGCATTCTCCACCTGACCACAGCATTCTGAACCTGACAATAAATACTCGCGTACTTTCCACCCCAGGTATATCTGTTTGTGACTTGAAAAAGCCCACTGTGTGGGTGAAACGTTGTCAATAAAGGATCACATTATACTGCATATGTGTTAATATTTCCAGCTCGTCATGCCCCCAAAACCATTTGTCTCCATTCACTCCTATCTGATTTTGAAGTTTGGCAACAATCATTAGCTCAGTTTTGCCTACCATGACCTTTCTTGGCAAGAGTCCCTTCATAATGATACATATTTCTGTTACTTACCATATCTACTCACTCAAATTATAGTGCTTGGTGCCTTCCATTTTTTGTATTCTACTCTCCCCTTTAACTGGTTGTTTAAAGGAAATTTAAGCAATCACCTCATATCTGAGCTCAAAAGAATTACTCCTTACTTTATTGCTTGTCATTAATGAAATATTGATGTGAAATGCTATGCATAAAAAGGTTCTTGTGCTTTTAACCATCTTCAGAATTTTTTTTATCACAAACCACAACAGAAAAATTTTGATAAACAGTGGAGTTCTTTTTCTAATTACAGTTATTAATCTCTATAGTGTTTCAAATGCCAGGTATACTAACACATATCACTAACAAACTTACTCTTCCTTTCTACAAGTTGTAGTTGAATGATGGGTTACATTACTACTCATGTGAAGTGCTAAACTCATGTGGGCCATTCAGTGCATGGAATGGCAGAAGTTTGATCCTCTATCTGCTAAGTACAACCCAACGTTTAATCAGTGAGATTGCTGGTGGTTGTCTGAAGAGTTACAGTGTTAGACAAGTTGTTATACTGTACCTGCAGCTTTGTGTATTTCTTCCTTTTAATTTCCTTAATCATAAAAAAAAAAAACATTATTTGAAGAATGACTATTTTATCTTATATAAATGTTTACTTTAAAATTGTGTTTATTGAATTTGCTTGAAAATATAAATATTTTTTTTACCTGATCAAAAAGTTGTCTATTGATTGCAATGGCACCCTGCTGCCGAGACATCTGACGAGCAATGAAAGTAAAGAGAGATCCCAACTGTGCTGGTCCAAAGCCCTCTCCTTCCACCATCACCTGAAGATATTTACATCAGAGAATAACTTTAACACCTCTATGGAAATTTGTCCTTTGAAATACATGTAAATAATTACTCTGTAACAAGACAATAAAAACTATTATTACAAGACAATCTATCTAAACAATGAAATGTCTATGATACAATAAATCTTCATATATATTATTGTGGTAAGTGTTATGATAAAGGATGTACTATATTCGTAGAAAGTGTTAAACCTGTTTAGGGTTATTTAATGCTGAATGGTGGGGGTGAGGCAGGCTGGCTTGGAAAGAAGGTACAAATGTCAGTAAGCACAAAGGCAAAAGGAGGGGTTATTATCAGTGTAGCAACATTGATAAAGATAAAACTGTGATGGAAGCAAACTTCTGGCAAGACAGCAACTGAATGAATGACAGTGAATGTGTTTTCTTTCCTTCTGGGTTACTCTACTTTGGTGGAAATGGCTGATGTGTTGAAGAAAAGAAATGCATTGAAGGTGAAACTGTCCAAGAGAAAGGCAAACAGAATAAGCATATCAGAGCACTGAAGGAGGTTAAAAAATAGTCAGGGAACTCTCTGATCAACAGAACAATTAGTTAAAAAAGATGGACTATCATCCTGAGCTGAATCCTTTCAGTGTAACACTGGGCATCTCCCATGAGATGACTATGTCCTCGATTGATGTGACCAATGTACAGGTGTATGAGGATTGCCAGGAGCTTTATTGTGGCTTGATTAACAACAGCTTGATGGTGAATAGCACAGCCCAATAAAGATAACAGCAACTTCACATACTGAAATATTATGGCAATGGCAACTACCTGAAGGAGAATGAAAATGCCTGAGGTACACAATGAGCAGAAGAGTCCACAAGCTTATTGCCCTCAACTCCTGTTTGATCAGGGACCCAGAAAAAAAAATTACATCTGCTGAAACTGCAACAAAACCAACATTGAATGCAGGACAAGGAGAGCCGAAGAACGAAAGATCTGAATCACTTGGAATGCAATGAGAGACAGAATATGACAAATAAGGAGGAACAATGTAGATGGCATCAGGGAGAAAAAGCTCATAACTCTTGTGTGAAAATGCTAGCTGACTGCAACAGTCATCCTTGGATTATACAAACATTAAAAAGGCCTGGGCAGTCTCCTAGGCAGACCTGAGCCAAGGAGATTTCCAAGGTGAGAGGGAGGAGTAAGAGGAAGGAAGATCAGAAAGATAAGGTAGCACAAAGAACCTGACAACAATAAAGAAATAAGAAAGAAGGGTGACAACTGCAACTGCTAAGATCTACTAACATAAGTAAAATGTTCATAAACCATAGGCTTACAGGGCCACAGAAACGAAGAAAGTAACAGAGGTAACGGGCATCCTGATGAAAATAAAAGTAGAGGCCTAGTCATTGGCCTCTGTACCAAATTCCTCACTTCTTGTGAGGAACTCAGTAGTGGTATATGGAGGAAAGTGAGATAAATGCAGAGGAAGAGAATAATACAAATATGTGATAGCTGTGTACAGCATTTAAGGTGGTGGAACCACCAATTATAATATGGGTGGTTGTGGTCAAAGGTGTATTTAATTTTTTTTTTTCAACAAGTCAGCCGTCTCTGACCGAGGCAGGGCGACCCAAAAAGAAAGAAAATCCCCAAAAAGAAAATACTTTCATCAACATTCAACACTTTCACCTCACACACACAATCACTGATTTTGCAGAGGTGCCCCGAATACAACAGTTTAGAATATATACGTATAAAAATACACAATATATCCCTCCAAACTGCCAATATCTCAAACCTCTCCTTTAGAGTACAGGCATTGTACTTCCCATTTCCAAGACTCAAGTCCGGTTATATAAAATAACCGGTCTCCCTGAATCCCTTCACTAAATATTGCCCTGCTCACACTCCAACAGATCGTCAGGTCCCAAATATCATTTGTCTCCATTCACTCCTATCTAACACGCTCACGCACGCTTGCTGGAAGTCCAAACCCCTTGCCCACAACACCTCCTTTACCCCCCTCCCTCCAACCTTTTCGAGGACGACCCCTACCCCGCCTTCCTTCCCCTACAGATTTATGCGCTCTCCATGTCATTCTACTTTGATCCATTCTCTCTAAATGACCAAACCACCTCAACAACCCCTCTTAAGCCCTCTGACTAACACTTTTATTAACTCCACACCTTCTCCTAATTTCCACAATCCGAATTTTCTGCATAATATTTACACCACACATTGCCCTTAGACAGGACATCTCCACTGCCTCCAACCACCTCCTCATTGCAGCATTTACAACTCAAGCTTCACACCCATGTAAGAGTGTTGGTACTATTATACTTTCATATATTCCCTTCTTTGCCTCCATAGATAACATTTTTTGCCTCCACATATACCTCAATGCACCACTCACATTTTTTCCTTCATCAATTCTATGATTAACCTCATCCTTCATAAATCCCTCCGCTGACACGTCAACTCCCAAATATCTGAAAACATTCACTTCTTCCATACTCCTCCTCCCCAATTTGATATCCAATTTTTATCTAAATCATTTCATACTCTCATCACCTTACTCTTTTCTATGTTCACTTTCAACTTTCTACCTTTACACACACTCCCAAATTCGTCCACTAACCTTTGCAATTTTTCTTTAGAATCTCCCATAAGCACAGTATCATCAGCAAAAAGTAACTGTGTCACTTCCCATTTTGTATTTGATTCCCCATAATTTAATCTCACCCCTCTCCCGAACACCCTAGCATTTAATTCTTTTACAACGCCATCTATAAATATATTAAACAGCCATGGTGACATTACACATCCCTGTCTAAGACCTACTTTTACTGGGAAATAGTCTCCCTCTCTTCTATGACAAATTATTTGTAGGAAAATGGCTGTGCAGTTTGAACTATGAAACAACTTTGAGAGAGAGAATATGAGAGGAAAACAGGCATAGTATAACCCTTGTTTTATGTATAAACTTACTATGAACAGTTGAAAATGTGTTAAGTTTTAGCAATGTAAAGGAATTTGGTCATCTTAATTTACCCTGAGTTAAGAAAGCACATGAAAGGCCATGGAACTATTTGGTACTTAATCCCCAACATTTATACAGATATCTTTCTTTGCACACACCTTCAACACTATTATTATTATTATTATTACAGAATGTGCACAACTTAAGAAATCGTAATACCACAAAAGGAAACAATCCATGGAATATACAGAAATATACCTAGTTGGATGAATCTTATTAGAGCCAGTTGGTTGATTGGCTTACACTCTGGCCTGGAGTTTTAGGACTCACTTGCTATGGGTTCAAACCCCAACCATCTGTGGTTAGAATAATCATGGGAAAGCAGTAAGTCTGTAGAGATCATACAGTGCCTGGGAAATGGGAGGTAATCAGGTACGATCCAAAGAAGGGCAGCTGCCATCTTTTAGAGCCTTGTTATTATTTACAGTCACACTGCATTAATACAGTATGTATTAATATTAGTTCCATTTATCACTGTATCAAATTAATTACATTCATAGCAACTATGCACAAATTCACCTACATTTTATTAACACACAGACCATCTACCACCAAGATAGGATGATCACAAAATAATAAAAAGGAAACATTCCCCATCCTTCATTTAATTGCTGCCTTGCCAGAAGCAAGCTGACATCACAGCTCATATGACCCTCCAACCTGAAACATCCTCACCCCTTCTTTACAGTGCTGGCACTGTACTTCCCATCTCCAGAAAACAAATCCAGTTAATTCATTTCCCTGAATCCCTTCAAACCATTAACTTGCACACACTTCAACAACACCAAGTCCACTCACTCCGACCCAGTGTGCTCACACAAGCCTGTTGGATGTTTCAACATCCAGCACTCAAAACCTCCTCTACCCCTCTAAATGCCAATCCATCCCAAGATAATCCATAACTCTCCCTACACAAATAACCCGCACATGGAAGAGATACGCTTATGACAGTGTTTCAGTCTATCTTGGACTATTTACAAAGTCACACTAACACAAAAGATAGAGGGAACCACTATATATATAGGTGAGCAGACAGGGATGGGACCAAGAGAGGTAGTAGTGGTAGAGGTAACCCTCTTAGTGTTATCCTATCTTGTTCCATCCTCTCTAAATGCCAAAAACAACTCTACTACTACTCCTCTGCCCTCTGAATTATACTTTTGGTAACTAAATACCAATCTTCTGCAATGTCTTTAGCACATTAAAATATTAATACTGACTTCCTTATTATTCCTTATGCCATTTACCAAATTATGGCCGGTTTGTTGAAAAAAATATTTACATATTCAATGCGCAGTAATTCCTTCACTACCATACATACATAGTGAAATAGGCACGTCTCTGTTGGTAGGAAAGGGACACCAAGGGAATGAGAGAGTGTATGTATTTCAATAATTATACTCATTAGTTTACAGTATTATGTATATTATAAGTGTGCAGGAAAGAGTAAGCTGATGAGAAGTAGTAGAAGTATAAGAATTAAAAGACATGTGGTGAGGATAAAAGGAAGGAAAATGGAGAAAGTGAATGTATTCAGTTTTACATACTTGGGAATGGATGTATCAGCAGATGGGGCTATGAAGGATGAGGTAAATCACAGAATAGACGAGGGGAAAGAAAGTGGCAGGAGTGTTGAGGAATCTGTGAAAAGAAAGACGTTTGTCAATGGATGCAAAATAGGAATTGTATATGAGCAATACAAAGTGGTGCTGACAAGTTTGTTTGGGTGTGAAGCACGGAATTTGAATGATGCAGTGAAGAGGAAGTAGTAACAATGTAGAGTCTAAGATTAATATTATTATCATTATTAACACACTGGCCGATTCCCACCAAGGCAGGGGGGCCCGAAAAAGAAAAACTTTCACCATCATTCACTCCATCACTGTCTTGCCAGAAGGGTGCTTTACACTACAGTTTTTAAACTGCAACATTACCACCCCTCCTTCAGAGTGCAGGCACTGTACTTCCCATCTCCAGG